AGATTTAAATTCCTAAAGATAGGATCCACAAGCACTATAAATAGCCATTGTAACTCACCATTGTAACATAGGATTTACACACAAAACATAGAGGAAAGCACAGGAAGATACAAAGGCAAAACTATTGTAAAAGATTCGAAAAGGAAATAAAATGTAGCATTTTCTTTTTTCTTTCTTTTGCATGTGCACGTTATTTTTCTTGAGATTTGGTTCGAATAACCCAAAACGTGGGTTGCGTCGATGACCAAAATGGGTGGGGTTTCGAAGTTTCGAACCTAGATCTACCCCGAGGCTTATTTTTAAAAACCGGTTTGATTTTCGGTTAAAGGATGCGAAGAACTTTTTAAAAAAAAATCTATATTAGTCCCTTTATTTATTATATATTCATTTATTTTTATTATTCATGTTATTATTATTATATATATATATTTCTTTAATATTTTACTTATAAGTCTAATATTACTATATATATATATTGTATTATCTTTACTAGTCGTATATTTTTTATACTTTTAATAGTTTATTTATATACCTATCATTAAATATATATTCTTAATTATTTTTTGATTATTTCTTTATTTATGTAATATATCTTATAACCTTATATATTTTTATTATTTTTATTATTTTCATTTTTTTATTCATTATTATTATATTATTATTTTTTTATCTTACTTATTTATTTTATTTATTTTATTTTTCCCTTGTATCTTATTTGTTTTCTTTACTTTGTTTATCTAACACATTTCTCGATTCTTTTTAAAGGATATTTTCAAATCAATCAATGGTAAGTAATTAGGATCGAAACTTTACCTTTTAATTTACCTTGTTATTTTTCTTAATTAAGACAATTGGAAATTACGTAGTACCGAAAGGGCGGTTCAAGGGTGCTAATCCTTCCTTGAAAGACGACTGCGACAATATTGATGTCAGACAATTATTTATAGGTCAATAAAATAATTAGATATAATCGTCATATAATAAATTTAATTTGTAATAAAATTGACAATGATCAAGTCAATAGACTATAATTATTTAGAGGATATAAAAATTTCAACAGACGATAAAAATTAATAATAAAAATTTAATTTACGATTTTTTTAAAAGAAATATAATAGAATATAAATTTAAATATATTTAAACGTGTAGTATCATTTGATATATATAAGTTATTGAACCTCTAGACTCTTGTTCGACGGTGCTTGTATTATATCCACAACGGAGTTACTTGGAAGAACGCTGATTTGTTGCTTGATAATTTGAATGGTTTCAACACAGTCGATTTCGAATTTAACCTTTCTATACCCTTTCTTTTCCCAATGTGCTCGAGTGTATCATACACTGCCCAAAGCTCAATCATAGTTTTCCTCTTTTTTTTTTATACATCAAAATGTATTATATTATAGGGTAAAATATAGAAATGGTTCTCCACTATAGGTCATTGTTTTGTTGAATCGTTTAGTTATTAAAAAATTATCTTTTGACTATAGCAAATTGTTTTGTTACGTTACGTCTATTAAAAGTTACAAAATGATCATACGAAATTCATATATTTCAAACCCATCATTGTTCGTTAAAAAATTGACGTCTGTCTGAGCTGAACTTTAACATGTTAACATATGAATAATCTGGTGACCATTTTGTAACTTTTAATAATCGAGTGACTCAAGAAAATAATGTTTTATAAGCAGAGAATCATTTTATAACTTTTAATAGTCGGAGGATTTAACAAAATAACGTCCTATAATTGAGGGAGTATTTATATACTTTCATCCTATATTCTATTAATTTAAGGAAGATTTATTTCACACGAGATAATTAATTATTGATGGAAGTTTGGAATAAATTAAAAACTAAGCTCAATGAATTTTGGTTAGTAAATTAAGTTTTTTTTTTAAAAAAGTATTTTATTTAATGTTTAAAATTAATTTATTATTAAAAATAAGATTAAAAAAATAGTATAAAAAGTACTCTGAATCTCTAAATAATTTCAAAATACCCTAAATAATCTTTTTTTTAATAATAATATTACTCTCATTTAGCTGGATTTCTGTGGCTCATAGAAATTAAGAAATAAATTAAAACAAAGTTCCTGGATATGTCGTAGTCCACGCATACCCGACCTCTTTTCACAAATAATTCACATTGGACATCTTCTTTCATCTGTTTATTTTAAAGCAAAAATTGGGAAAAATAAAAATTAAATATTCTCCTTCTCTGTATTTCTGACATTGTAATTATAATAATTAAATATAAATAAATGTAATATTAAAATAAATCTGACCCACTTTTCCCTTTGTGCATTAATCATTAATCATTGATCATTAACACAAAACAGTTGTAGTTCTTTGCGCCCAACAAAAGCATTAATATATTTATCCCAAAAAAGTTGTAAATATATTAATTAAATAATAATACTGTAATTCACAGAAAAGTAAACAATTTAATTTATATTCCTAATATATTAGATTGAGATATTACTATATTTAATCTGTATTTAATCATTATTTTAAGAATTTTTTTTGCATTTAATGTATTGATTTTATTAAAATTAAAACAAATATTAATTGTATTTTTTAAAGATCATTCACTTTTAACTAGTGTAAGACACAATTAACATTAAAATATTTAATATATTAATATTTTTGATTCTTTTTTTTAAGTTAAATTTGAATTTAGTCCTTTTAAGTTACTTATTATGATTTCATTTGAAATTTGACAATCCACTGTGACGGTTCAATTGTTTTTCATTGTTGGTGTAATATAATGTCATGTTAATAAATAACTTTATAGTTATAAAATGCATATTATTAAAAGTTAATTTACTGTAAAGTAAAAATTTATTTGAATTTAGACATTTTAAAGTTTCTATTGCATTTCAAGAATTTAAGAAAAAATTATACTCCAACTGCACTTTAATCTTAATCCTGCATTTAGATTAGATCAGACTTTGAGTTGTATTTTCATGTAAATTTCCCCTATCGATATAAATGATTTTTATTATAAATAGTCACAAGGGGAAGACACAAAATCAATTATCTGTTCTATTTTCTCTACTTATCGTGGATTTACCCCTCCATAAGTTGCTAATTCGATTTTTCTGGTTAAGATTTTTTAAGGTTATTAATACAAGTTTATAGTCAGATCTCTCGTTATTCATCTTCTTCATTTAGTTCGAGTATCTTTCTATCTTTTGGACTTCCTCGATAATTATATTTTGATCATAAGTTTTGTATTTTTTTTTCGATTTTATTCATTTTTATATGCAACAACTTATTAAAACATTCTTGGAACAAGTGATAAATAACCTAAAAAAATGGATGCTTTGATAATTTATGTACAATGAGTTTCTTAATTCGATAAAGCTATTATTAGGTTCCAGTTCTCATGTATTTTTATGTAAGGGTTTTAATATTGATAATAAGCGAAATGATTGTTTATGCTTTTCTCTGTGATTACCAATTAATTAAGAGGGATTGAATTATACATATCCTTTTATCTTATAACTTATAACCAAGCTATTTGAGATTAATGTATATTTATTTTTTTATGAAGATCAATGATCTAAGTCTCGAGTTAATATACCAAGAGTTACATTGCTTGGAATTCATCTTCATATTAAATTCTTATTTCCTTTAAATTAATTAATTTTTTTACTTTTTCAATTCTACACAAATACAAACTCTCACTTTATTTTATATTTTATCGTACTTTGATATAAAAATTTTGAATTTCAAGATTTATACATTCACTCGATAGTTAATAGATCTCAAATTTCAAGTGGATCAAACAAAAGATAGGAGAAAAAGACAAGTGGAAAATTCGATGACGATCCTAAACCACCTATTGAGAATTGTCATATTAGTCATCCTATCAGTAACTATCATGCGATAATAAGGAATATCAAAGCGAATCGATCATCTTCTATATACAACAGATGGAGGCTTAAAACCTCTCTAAGTTTCACAACATCATCATTTTTGTTTGTCTTTTATGCCACTGTTAAAATCTAAAAGAAATAAATCATCCTTCATCCAAACTATCAACATATTTAGTTTATATTTTCACTAAAAATATATTAAAGAAATAAATGGATAAAATATATAAAAATTAAGATTAAATATATTATTATATCCCTCTCTCTATATTAAAAAAATAACATACATATTTATAAAAAAAATAAAATAAATGTTGTTATACTTTATGAGAATAATCTTCGAGAGTTATTAACTCTTCACCAGCCAAGATTTTTGGACAAGCTCATCTGTTTACTAGAGTCTTCAAAGAGTCTGCATCCTTAGCAGAAACCTTCGAGTCAAATACAATATATAAATAAGATTTTTAACAAACCTAAGTGACATGCCAAAGCGAAATTCAAGATTTAACGATCAGATCTACTTAATCAGTTGACCTACGAATAATCATAATGATCATATGTTTGACATCATCAACTAAAGACCATTATAAACACCTCTAAATCAAGACTGGAAAATAGACAAAAACTTTTATCACTTAAGGACACCCAATCTCTTCTTTATCATTCTTATGATCAAGTTTCTCTCAAATAAAAACATTGATCAACAAAATTCTCATACAGACTATAATATTTCAATTAAATTGTATAAGTTTAATTGTCAAATGACTTACAAGATAAATTTATTCTTAATAAACATCGATATTAAAAAGTTAGTTTTCTTAAAAAAGTTATTTTATAGATTCAAATGTTGATTATAAAACTTCTATTAATTATCATAAAAAGTGTATTGACATTTAGCTTTCAGAAGCATTGGTTAAACGTTGAAATTGGAAGGTCGCCATTTTCATCCGTTCCTTCCACCGTCTATTACGCAGTTTTAGGCTCAGATTGTCGTCATACTACCGTTTCATATTTTAATATTATTATTCATAAATTAAAAAATAGAATTTAAAATAATCATAATAATAATAATAATAAATTTGCTTGGCTTGCTTTATCTATCCTTGCTTCCTCTTCACTTTCTCTCATTTCATATCTCACTTTCCCCTCTGTTTCCATTTTAGCTTTGCTTTTTAAAATTCCAACAATCTTTTTGCTCGTTGCTCTTTGTTTTCATATTCCTTAATTGAGTGATAACGGCACCATCTTCATCATCATTGTTGAGAACACCTCTTTTCATTCCATTCTTTCCGAAAACTTTCCTTTTGTTTTTTCTCGGTAAAAAAATTCTGGGTTTTGTTTCTTGATTCTCGGTTTTCATTGTGATTATTGATCTGGGTGTTCAAAAATCTTATCAAGTTTGTGTTTTTTTAATCATGGAAAAAGACAAGGCTTTTGTTATGGCTGAGGTGCTAAACAGAACAGCAATACGACAACCAACTTGGAACGAGCTGAATTGTACATCAGAGCAAGTTGGGAATTATTTTCTCATTCCGAATTGGGATAATTCAGTGGATCAGAGCGATCCCTTTGAGTCGGCATTGAGTTCCATGGTCTCTTCTCCAGCAGCTTCAAGTGTTCCTCCTGTTTCTGGGGAAAATGTAATGATGAGAGAATTGATTGGTAAATTGGGGAACATTTGTAATTCTGGTGATACTTTCAATAGTACTAATACACCTTTCAATGGTACTCCATTGAATTCACCTCCAAAGCTTAATCTTTCAACGGTGAATTTACCGAATCATTCAACGTTGGCACCGTTTTCTGCCGACCCTGGGTTTGCTGAGAGAGCTGCTAGATTTTCCTGTTTCAGTGGCTTGAATGATCCATTAATGGATTCGTTTAAGCTTTCAGGCAATCAAGTTAATGGATCTCAGAGCATTCAGAATTCGCCAATGGAATGGAATTCATGTTCCGATAAGAAAAACAGTGGGGGTTCGAGGTCGTCGTCGCCGGAAAATGCTGAATCCGGTGTTTCCAAGGAAGAATCCTCAGTCTCTCAACATATCACAGCCCGAAACGATGCCGGTACCCGGAAAAGGAAATCGGTTCCCCGGGGAAAAGCAAAAGAAACTCCATCTCCAGCAGCTGGTGATACCAAGGTGAAGATAACAAGGATTTGATTCGAATTGTCTGTCGAATTCTATCAAAAAATTTGTGAAACTAATCACAGATGTCCATTTCAGGTTGCATCGGAGATCGTCGAATCGAACTCGAAACGAAGCAAGCAAGATGGAGCCCCTGTGAAAGGGAATGCTAAAGCAGCAAATGATGGGAATTCGAAGCAGAATTCAGAGAATTCGAAGCAAATGGAGCCGCCAAAGGACTATATTCATGTCAGGGCAAGAAGGGGTCAAGCAACTGATAGTCACAGTCTTGCCGAGAGAGTATGCAAACCTTTTAAAATCAATGATATGTTGTTATTCATTGCTTAGTAAGTTAGGTTTATGTTCATCTAAAGTTCATACCATATCGAAAATTTCCAGGTCCGAAGAGAGAAAATAAGTGAAAGGATGAAGTTTCTTCAGGATCTTGTTCCTGGATGCAATAAGGTGAGCTGGATTTTTCGTATTTTTCTTAAAATATTCGTGTCTGATACTTATTCGGACATGGACATGGACATGGACATGGACATGGACATGGGGTAGTGTACTAAATTGGGAACTATATTTGTTGCAGGTGACTGGTAAAGCAGTTATGCTTGATGAAATCATTAACTATGTACAGTCCTTGCAACGCCAGGTCGAGGTAAGCTGAATTTTCGATGTCTTCACCGAAGTTTTAACGTCGATTTTGATTTGAGTGCATAAAGTAATTTACGATCAAACGATGTTTTCCTGTAGTTTCTATCTATGAAGTTGGCGACTGTGAATCCGAGGACAGATGTTGCAAAGGATGTAAGTTAATCTCCTGTGATATGGCTCTCTCTATTTATGGCAACTTGTCTGGATTTTCAAGTGATATCTTGTGTTCTTTGTATTCTGAAGATGTTCCAATCTCGTGTATCGCTGCCGCATGGAATTTGCTCGATGGATTCTTCGGCGACACCGGCATTTCCGTTCGGATATCATCCCCTGCAAGGGCTACCTCTTACCGAGACTCAGTTCTCGATGAAAACACAGGGCTTTCAACTGCCTCCAATCGATGGATTAACCAATGCTAATCATCATGTCGGATCAATTTGGGAGGATGATCTCCAGAGCATTGTTCAAATGGGGTTTGGCCAGAATCAACCACAGAGCTACCAAGGTAAAGCATAATAAACTCAACGTCCGATCCAGTACGGTACTTCGACTCTTCATTTTCTTCGAACAATATCGGAATCAGCATAGTTTGGAGTTCGAATAACATAGCTGATCCGAGTTTCCGTCTGGTGCAGGCTCAATAGCAACAGGGCAAGTGAAAATTGAGCTATGAACGAGCATTAAACAACACCTTTCTGATCCAGTGATTGTAAATAGAAACGAAAAGAGCCTTGTTTTCCCAGAAATTGTTTCTGAGACCCAATTCTTTAGTGAATTATTACAAACAAATCCTGATTTTTGATATTTTAGGACTAATTACAATGTAGTGGTCCATATGCCAGTCTTTGTGGGGATGTTGAAAGAAGAGATTAATTTTTACGAAATACTTCTGTTTCAACCATATGTAATAACAGTTAAATGTTTCAGTTAATCGAATCAAATCTAAATTTTACGTGCATGATCTCCTTAATCAGTGGCTAATATCCTTCCGCAAATTCTGGTTTTGTTACAAAGAATAACGTTAAAGAACTGCAGATAACGTCAACAGCCAAACAAAACAGTTGTGTCCCATGAATTAATCCATTTCCCTTTTTCTTTTTCTCGGCAACCAAACAAAAGCTACAGTTAAAATGAAAAGGACAGCATCTTCCCCATTACTTTCAAATTTTGCTGGAAATCAGATGTGGGGTTGAAGGGGACCCCTGGGATTGGATTAGACTGAGAATTATGTTACATTAAATCGCGTAACTAGTGGGAAAATGAATTGAAATTAGATTCTTTTGCTCGTAAACAGCTGTTAAAGTGGGGACAATTCATCTCTTTTGTCCAACTGATGATTAACAATGATTTTGTGTTCTTGAGCTGTAATCCACTGTCATTTCTTTCAACCGGATTATATATTAGTAAGGTCAAATTCTTTTATTAGTCTATATATTATGTTCGACTTGTGGATTTAGCTCGGTATTATAATTTGATCATTTTTAGTCTATAAACTTTTAAAATTTTGAAGTTTTGATCGTAACCCCAAATAATAGTTGTGGAATCTTTAAATTAAAATTATATTATTGGATTGAGGTATAGAACAATTAACGGCACAAATATATGAACATGTGCTCAGTTTTCATTGTGACATTGAACACTTATAATGGATGTTGAAATTAGTTGAGTGAATGGATCTGACATATCACTGCAAATTCTCCAAATCGTTATTGGTTCATTGCTATTTAAATAAACTGATCCCTTTTTATTTTTTTCATTACTTGTAATGATAGTAACAAATCATATGTTGAAATTAGTTGATTGAATGGATCTGACATATCACTGCAAATTCTGGAATTATTCTATTACAGAACAGTCTCAAATCTATATATTATGATGAGCTTCTAACAAGAAGATCTCATCTTTTTTGTAATGGAAATTTGGTGCATCTGTTTTCATTTATTAATTTGTTGTACTTTTATGTATTAATGGATGTTGTTGATAATTATGATTAATTAAGGACAACTTAGTTAGGATATTTCCCCTCATTCAAAGGGATTTTGTTTTAATAATTCCTCAACATGAAAAGATTTAACACATGAAAATAGGTTTAAATAAAACATTGTAGCGGTCCATTATAAAAGTGATTCTTACAATTTAATTTTTTTCATCCAGAAAATACGAATTTAAACTCATAATTTTACTTAAAAAATATAACTATTCGTAATGAGCTTAAAGGAAAATAAATTGGACAGACAAGGTGATTGTCCTATGGGTAATGAAATAATTACGTATTTTCAGTCGTTCAAAAATTATATTTTTAAAGATAAATTAGATCTACTAAACTTTATGTGGCATATTGTTTATATCACATAACTTTCAATTGCTTTAGTTATATTATTAAACTTTGATTTTGAATTCAATTATATCACTGAACTATTAAATTTTAACTACACAATGATGTGGATAAATCTTTCTGTCAATATGATAAAGTAGACATAACGATGTCGTTTTAATACGACTATGATACTCAAAATAATGCCTTTTTAGGCACTAAACTTATTTTCACTCATTCCAAAGAAAATACTAATTCAATTTAAAATATTTTAATAAAATTTTCAACCTCTAAAAATTTAAATTTTAGATCAATTTTTGAAATAAAATCTGGATGGTTGAAAGGGTTGAATCTAACTATCAGATATTGTAATGGAACAACCAATGAGATTTGGATGGTTGAATCAATAAAGTAGTTGATACCTTTCTTCACCATCAATGTCACACTTTGACAATGATGCCAAAACTAATTGTGTGACTAAATCTAGCAAGATACCGGCAAATCCATCTACTGATTGTGATGTAAACATTGTCAGTTAAACCATAATGTAATTAATTTTTAACGACCATTTTTTAATATGATTTTAAAAGATTTAATTTTTGACATATTTTTTAAATAAAAAAATTTAGTAGTATGTATCCATATTTTGTATTAGTCATGAATATCAGTATATGTAAGAGTTATCTACATAAAAAATTAAAATTTATTATTTTAAAGTAAAAATTGAAAGAAATTAGAGTAAATACATTTAACCGATTGGTCAAACTGCTATTTTTGTTCTTTTTATTTGCTTTGATTGACATAACCATATTGAATCTTCTAGTTTAGGTCATGTTAATGTCAATAACTAACATCTCCATACTAATCTCCTCGTTCCAATAAATGATTAAAATGTTAATTTTTAAATGGCATAATATTCAAATTCATCTTTTAACGTTTGGCGTTATGGTCATTATAGCTTGTTTTCTTCTTTTGAAATCATTTTAGCTCTCAACTTTTAATTTGATTGATAAATTTCATTTAAATAAGAGTCACTTTGATTAAAATTGAAACGTTGAGGGCTAAATGATTAATAAAAATATATTAGTCAAAATGATCAAGACATCAAACATTAAGGGCCTATTTTTTGTATTGAGCCTTTTGAAACCAGTGAAATTAAGCTTTGCCCCCTCCACATTTTTTTTGCTTTAATAACTCTTCAAGCTTTTGTTAATTTTGAAATCGATGAAATTAAGTTTTGGTCCTCAACTTTTATGATTAATATCTTTTAAATATCTGTTTAATTTTAAAATTAAATAAATTAAATCTTAATCTCTATTTTCATGTTTAAAAGCTCCTTTAGTCCTTGTCTATGTGGTCCCGATATTAGATATATCATCATTCAAATATATAAAATATAAAATAAGTTAAATAAATACATATCAAATATATGCTTACATTTGATAATTATTCAAGTTCGAATAAAATATATAATAAATAAATAATTTTTTTGATGTAATATATATATATATATATATATATATATATATATATATATATATATATTGTGTTTGTGGGGGGTTTATAATTAAGACCATTTACCTATAGGCTAGTTGTCACTTTAATTATTGTATATCGTGCATTATATGTACAAAACCTAACATTTTGCTTCACCAAACATTAAGCAATTATTACATGCATAAACATAGCTTTGGAAATCATAATCTACAAAATCAAAAACAATATTAATGCATGCAAGTAACGATTATACTCTTAATTTTTTAATTTTTATATAATTTATTTTTATTTTTTTATAATTTTATTTTTTTAAATTTTAATATAATTAAAAAAAAAAGTCACCATAACCTAAAAATTTACGCGCTTCCATACAAAACATACCTAAGTTAAAATCAAAATTCCATAATATTGTTTTGTTATAAAACATTAAAAGAAAGAATAAATCTTCTAAATTCACATTTGATGGTTATATTTTCTACTTCTTCATATTATATATTTATTTCTTTTAAATCTGACTTAGTTGAAAATTTTGTATTGAAAATCTAAGATAAAGTTATTATTTTGTGTGGTTATATTAGGGATGACAACAAGTCGGATCGGGTTGAATTTTGATCTCACCTAAATTCAACTCGAAAATTGAAGTCCTCGACTTAACTTGGATTTAGGAGGATCACATCCAACTCAAAACCCAACTCAATATTTTAAGTTAAAATCTATGTTTAAAATCTAATCCGACCCAAACAAATCCAATTTTTGAAATAAAAATCAAAATTCATCATATTCGAATAAAATTATCATCCTAGGCATGGGTAAAGAATTTAAAAGAAAATATTGGTAATGTGTGGCCTGGGTTTTAGAAGCTTATTTGTCCTATTTTATTACCAGCAAATGCCAGTCCCCATGACTTGTATGAATTGGGTCTCAAAAAGTGTGAAAAATGGTCCATAGTTCAGTCGGATTGATTTGATTTCATTGGGAAGACAAAACCACAAGCTTCTTGTTTTATGGTCAGCAATAGAATTACATATATGGAAGAATATTATGTCTTATTATTATTTTGTTTTAAAATTTTAACACTGTATTCTAAATTTTCTAATACTATTAATGTTTACGATAACAACACATTATAAGACAATCTACTAGAAAGTGAAAGAATCATTCGACTGTCTTCTTTTATCGAACCTCTTTCTCCAATCATCTCACTGTCTATAGCTCTCGATTCATTAAGAAAATCGTATAAATTATAAATATTTTAAATTATCCAACATAATTATAAAATGAATATACATAGACACACTTCTCTTGTACACTTGAGGGATTGTCCCCTATCCTATTGACACCAAAACCAAACAAATAAACGATCCAAGGCTTCAAAAACAACAGTGTATCTTTATGTGGATTTTCTGATATTCTTACATGTCAATTCTCTGTAATAAACTTTGGCGGTCCACCCTATCCATTCTCATAACTTCACGCCCACGAATGAGAAAGAAAGAAAAATAAAATAAAATCTTCAAATTCAGGGTTAATGAAGTGTTGTTTCTATGTCTGTTGAATGTGGAAACCACATGGATAGTAAGAACATGTTTGTGTATGTGGCTCAAACGTGCACGTTTTATGCTTTCGTGTTCCCTTTTGCAACCAAGAGATTGTATCAGAAAAATATAAATAAATAATCAAACTATATGTTTTTAAAATTATATCAATTAAAATTACATAAAAATATAAAAGAATCTTTTAACATGCAGTAGATTTTATTATACTCATGATGTCGATATAATAGAAGTAAAAAATTAATTATAAAACTGCACCTATAATAATAAATGATAAAATAATTTACTTTCAGTTGATTAATCTCCGTCACCAACTTAATTAAAAACAATTTTAAATGCATTTCCCCCAAGATTGACAAGAATAAGTATACCAAGATTAAACATATATAAAATTAGAACCAAATATTGAGAGGGATATATGGTTTGAGTTCAAAACATTATAAACATGTTAAATATTTAATCTAAAAAAATTAGAAAGTAAAAATATTTCATTTGACTTGAGTTTAAACTTACACAATCTAAAATATCATTAGACCAAAATTTTTGAGAGAAACGACATCTCTGT